GGGGAGCCGTGCGGGCTCCGCGCTCGCTCCGCGCTCGCTCGCTCGCTCGGTGCTGTGGCGGTGCCTCGGCGGCGGCGAACAAACATGTTCTCAGTGCGGATCGTGACTGCCGACTACTACATGGGCAGCCCGCTGCCCGGCCTGGACCCCTGCCAGTCCAGCTTCCGAGAGGCCCCGGCCAGGCGGGTGCCTGTCGTGAGAGTCTTCGGCGCCACCCCTGCAGGTAAGGGGTTACCCCCCCTGCCGCCGCCACCGGCGGGCGGGGACGTCCCCCCCGCTGCAGCGCCGCGGGTCGTGCCGGCGCCGGTCGCGCCGCCGCCCACCCCGCGGCGGAGGCAGCGGCGGCTCCCGCTCTTTGTGGCTGGGTCGCGCCCCCCCCTCCGCGCCCGCCGCCGCCGCTGCGGCGTCTCACCTGCCGGGGGGAGCTGGGAGCAGAGGGGACCTGCCCCGGGTGTCCCCGCGGGGGACCTGCCCGGGTGTCGCGCCGCGCCCGCCCGGTGGCGGCGGGGGCTGCGGGTCCGCCGGGGCTTTGTGCGGGGCTGCCCCGGGAGAGCGGAGCAGCTGTGCAAACACCGGGGCGGTCGGTGCCGCCCTCGCCCCCGGGGCCCGCACGCCGCTCTCCTGCCCTGCCCGGGAGGTGTTACCGCGGGAGAGTGAGTGAGCGGGCGACGGGGAACCACGGGAGCGCGGCCACAAGTGGGACTTGCGCGGCACTTGGGAAGTGGAGCTCGTGTGGCGGCGCGGATCGCGCACGGCCGGGGGCACCGGTGCGGCACTGCAGGAAGGGGCGTCCTGAGCAGCGCCGGCCACATGTTGCCCCCCGGGACTCCCGAGTGTCACATGCCGCTTCTTCGCTGCCTCTTCTCCGTGGCCTTATGGGTCGTCCCACGTCTCAAATGTGTTTCCGACCCATACAAAAACGTTTTCAGAAAAAAAATTCTAAAATTTAATACTTAAGAAAATTAATTTGGTGTGTATTGTACTTTACCCATACGTTAAATATTAAGTGGGAAAAAAAAAACCCAACATGTTTTTTGAGATATTAGGCATATTAAACATTGTTGCTTGTGATCCCTTTCCACTTAATGTTGTGTAATGCTGACCTTGGGAATTCAGGAATTTCTGCATATTTTATTGACTTGCCTGTTGAAAATTGTGCATTGGTATATACATTAAATGTTAGGCAAGACAAAAAGCACCTAATAAAAAAGGCACAGCAGAGGTGTCTCCCTTCACTCAGTTATTATAGTAGAGCAGACCTTTTTGTTGTATTTCTTGATGGCTTGTTTTGTTGTTTTTTTTTTTTTTTTTAAATTCAGAATTACCTCTCTGTTCTCTGTTTAGGCACAGAGGAATGTGAGACATTAAAGCTGTTGTGCTCTGATGCAACTACAGCTCCAAATTATTAAATGGATGAGTGGGATTAGGAGATAGAGTATTGAAATAGTGGGACCTATGTTATTGTAGCTCTAATTCTGCATACAAAGGAGATATTATGTAATAATATTTATGTAATGACACGAGTAACTATTTCATTATTAAAAAATGCAGAGCCTGAGGTTGTTGGCAGGTAGCAGGATTTCTCTGCATGCGTGTGGTTAACTCATTAAGGCTTATTTTGTTTTAAGAAAATGTTTAGGGCTATGCCATATCATGAATGTGGCATCATAAAGTAAACAGAGAAGTAGTTTAGTTGTCCAGCTATTAGGAATACAGTAGGAAATCCCTGGCTTCCCTAACCATAAACTTTAATATTAATTTGCATAATAGAAGTGTTTCTAATTTGTCTTGTTAGAGAAGACAATTCATTAGTGTCTGCAAAGGCAGTGTGACTTGTCTTCTATTTATTTCCTTTTTAAACTTTGTGTAATGGCTTTTTTTTTTCTGTTCTGTACCTTTAGTAATGTTCGCATTGCTGCACTGTTGTTTGGGTTTTTTTCAAGGAGGCAAATGTAATTCTATCTCTTCAAAGGTGTTGAACCTAGGCAGACATTTCAGAAGTACTCTGGCAGTGATTCTCAGGTTATTTCTTGAGAGTTGAAATACAAAGTGAAATGAAATATAATCGTTTACACCTACACTGTCATTTTCTTCGAGAAAAAGAACTAGTAAAAACAACTTCTAGTATACTGTCCAAGACAGTAGGGTATCTATATTCTTTGGCTTACAGAGGCAGTGCAATGCTTGTCTCCACTTGGTTTGGTCTGGGTAGGGATAACCCTTTCTCATTGGGTTTTAACGTGTGTATATTGACTGCGGGAAAGGTGCTCAGTTGCCTTGCTGCCTCCATGGCAGCAACCCATTATGCCTGTATAGGCTGCTCCACCTCCAGCATGATTAACCCTGCACGAATCTTAGTGTGTTTATAGCTGTGTGCCCAAGCTGTGTAGTTAATTGGGAGTCAGGTTCAGAACGGACTCCAAATTTCACCTGCTGAGTGAGGGGGGTTGGATTGGTATGTGGCAGTGGCTTGTGCAGATGTTCAGAAAGTCAAACGTCTGGCAACCCTGTATCCTTGTGTCTACTGTCAGCTATGGACAGTGGTCCTGAAGGCACCCACCTGTGCTTCCCGCCCCATCTTCTGGAGATACTGCGCTTCGTGAGGCATATGAATGACAAGGGTTGCCGGTGTTCTGACCTTTGAGGGCTTTTATGTAATCCAGAACCCAACAATTAATTTCTAAAAGTTTACTAGTATAAAATTCAAGGGGTTTGTGGTTGAGTGAGATAAAAAACAGACTTTCAGTTAAAAATAATGGAACGATCAACTCTTAGAACAGACTGTGTTGGCAGTAATATTTAACAACTTCTTTATGTCTTTTGAGGAAGAAATCTCGTTATATTTGGCAAGACTGCGAATCATCTCTTGATGTCCTACATCTTTGCGTAATAAGAGCTTGAAAGGCGAGGAATCAAAATTTTGTTTAAACCCAAAGATCCACTTACTATATTATGTTATTCTGTGAAATAAAAACAGTAAAATTCTGATTTCAATAGCAAAAGGTGAAGTGAAGCATTACTGGAATTTATGTTTGAGTGTATCTTAGCTGGTTGAGCTGTTTCATTCCATTTTAGCTGTTTGGTGCTTCAAGCAGACTGGCATATCTGTTGACAAAAGTGTAATTTCAGAAGTGCTGCAACACTGCCATGATGGTAATACAATGAAAGCAGTGTTGGATTCATGCTTTATTGTGTAGAATCGTTGATATTATTTGATATGGTAGTATTTGTATCTCCAAAGGAGCCTCATAATATTGCAGCTTATATTTAAAAACAATAGGTTTTAATTCACTGGGTAATGCTTAACTATGAAACAAAGTTTCATTATCTTCTCAGGCAGTATTGTCTACTAGCTAGCAATTTTTGTAAGTGCTTTTTGTAAAAAGAGAAAAAACCCTTTGAAGCACAGCAAGGCCTGTTGTTTAGAGTGAAATCGTAACACAAATTTATTTTTCTGTTAACGTATGTTGTTTGTTGAATTGGCAGTTCTTGAATTGTCATTCTTGTTCCTAATCTTAATCTTGTTGAGATTCTTGCAACCACATAAGTACCTTAATTTATAGCTTCAAAACAGATATATTTAAGGTAAGACATACCTGTAATCATAAAAGTCTTGTATGTTAATAGTTTTGTTTGGGTGAGATTATTCCATAGGTCTTCATCATAGAATATCCTGAGTTGGAATGGACCCTTCAGGATCATTGAGTTCCAACTCCTGGCCCTGCACAGGACACCCCAAGAGTCACACCATGTACCTGAGAATATTGTCCAAATGCTTCTTGAACTCTGTCAGGGTTGGTGCCATGACCTCTTCCCTGCAGAGCCTCTTCCAGTGCTCAGCCACCCTCTGGGTGAAAAACCTGTTCCTGATGTCTAACCTAAAACCTCCTCCAACTCAGCTTCACACCGTTTCCTCAAGTCCTGTTACTGGTCATGAGAGTGAAGAGATTGGTACCTGCCCCTCCCTTGTGAGGATGTTATCGACTGCGATGAGGTCTCTCCTCAGTTTCCTCTTCTCCAGGTTGAACAGGCCAAGTGACTTCAGCCACTCCCTGTGGCCCTCCTTTGGACACTCTCCAACAGCTTAATTTCTTTCTTATACTGCAGTGACCAAAACTGCACACAGTCCTCGAGGCCACACCAGTGCAGAGCAATCCCCTCCCTTGACCAGCTGGCGATGCTTTGCCAGATGCTCCCCAGGACACAGCTGGCCCTCCTGGCTCCCAGGGCACTGCTGACTCATATTCACCTGGCCATTGTCCAGGACCCCCGGGTCCCTTTCCACAGCGCTGTGCTCCAGCAACCAGGGTTGCCCCATCCCAGGTGCAGAATCCAGCACTTTCCTATGTTAAACTTCATATAGTTGGTGATTGCCCAATCCTCTCATTTGTTGAGATCTCTCTT